AAATAGCAACCAAAGAGGGGGGAAAGAAACAGAGAAATCACGATTTTTCCACCCCCTAGCCCGGATCATAATGAATGGTGATGGTAAAAGGAATTGTTAATAGTCAGTTGGATTAAGTTTAAATAGACAATCAAGAATGAGAGCCTGTCTATGAGAAACCAAATAAGCATTTAAAGCTTGTAACTGCCTGATTGAAATGTTGCTGAAAACACGGTAATATCCTTCTTTTCATACACTAATAGATAAGAAAAGACATAGAATACCGATATAGATGGCCAAAAAATTAGATGCCTTACAGGCTTAGCAGGAAATGTAATTTAAATAAACCACCGAAATTCATCAGGGCCAGAGGTGCTATAAGACTATTACTAGAGAGAGAACCATATTCAATTCAAAATGACACATTAACTATCAATTCCTTACCTAAAACCTAATGGTACTATACGTTCACATTTGTATTTTATAGAACAAACTTCAACAAGGAAAAGTAAAGGAAGAATGAAGGCCACTCAAATTATCACTGCAGACAGTAAATACCCGAACCTTTTTTGTCTTTAAAACTCGAAGGATTCAATCCTTTCTGAGCATGTTGTGCCTTGTTAACCTGCAGGGCATTTGAACAACAAAAGTCAGTGCCTAAACACAACAGCAACTACAGGGCAATAAAACGGAAAAAGTTCAGTAATGAAATATGAAAGGAACCAAACTTGACTAGATTTTCATGAAACAACTTACAGCATTGAACAGCTTGACCACTGAAACTCCATCAATGCACAAGTAAAACCAAGACTCAGTAAGTAAAAAACGAAACAACGTGTTATAATCATAGAAATCTCAACCAAGAAAACAGAACAAGAATCTACTACCTCCTTTTGTAGCAACACCGATTAGAAACTTCTCATGCGAATCTAAATATGTCGCCGGTTTCACATGGCCCTTCTCTCCTACCTATTATTACATATTAAAATGCACATAAGACATGGCCCGCCAAAATGGGCACAGGTTAGGACCGTGCTTTGACAGAACACAGCAACCCTATTCTTCTCT